ACAGAAACTATGACATAATAAATATGTTGCTTTACATTTCTAAGTTAGAGATAATTTATATACAACAGAAAACCATTACCTTGATTTTCCCTATGCTTGGAACACAATAAATTCCTAGTAAATGATAGCTGCTCATGATAATCAAAACGGATATTTGAAGTATGAGAGCCAAAGAGAAAGATAACAGAAATTTAACAGAGTAAAATAATTGTTCCACAGAAGTCAAGCAGCTAACATGGATGAATGGGAGAAACAGATGGTACCTTGAAAACTTGCGATTATTGAGTACAGTTACCAAGTGAAATATTACAGACTTCCCTAGTGGCGCCTGCATATTTAGATGTAACATCTTATGCCATATGCAACATAAGTTGGGAAGTTTTTGTCCATTAAGATGTCCAGGTAGAGTACTTGTTTCTCCTGTGCAAGATCCTGGATTCAATCTCCAGCACTGAAAAAAATGTTTTACATTTGGAATAAGGATTTATCAAAACCTGGTCTCAGACTAGGGTCATGCAGTTTTAAATTATGATTTAAAAACACTAACATTTAACAATAGTTTAAATGTAATGGCTAAAATAATTCAGGTCACTATATCAAAAAACTAAACTCTGATAAAACAACAGTCAGAATATTTTCAGTTTGTGAGTGCATGTGGGTTCTGCTTACCCAAAATAACTTATTTATATTAAAAACACAATATAATTATACACATTTGGCTGAGATGTAGAGAACTTGAATGAGTTTCCATTTCATAGAATCAAGGTTTACTACTATGAAAAAAAAGATGGGGTAGTACTCATATCTTTTTTTTTTTTTTTTTTTTTAAAGACAGGAACTTACTGTGTAGCCCTGGCTAGAACTCACTATGTAGACCAGGCTGCCCTAGAATTCACAGAGATCTGCCTCTGCTTCTGGAGTTCTGTTAGAGTGTTTGCTTTAATCTTATTAAATTGCAAAATGTTTTTTCTATTTACTCCTCTGTGCTGGGTACATGAATGTGTAGTTTCTGTCAAGTGAATCCTTAAAAATGGCAGTGCTGGGCGCTGGGGAGATGGCACAGTGAATAAAGCACTTGCTGTACAAACAGGAGGACCAGAGTTCAGATCCCAGAACCCATATAAAAGCTGGCAGATGTGGCTGCTGGCTGTAATCACAGTGCACAGGAAGGCAGATCCCAGAGGAAGATGACTAGCTAGACTAGCTGATTCCTGAGATCTGGGTTCAATTGAGAGACCCTGCTTCAATAATAAAGTGGAATGGACCAGCATCTGGGAAGACACCGGATATCAATGTCAGGCCTTTATATGTTTATTCACACACATGAATATGCATTCATACAACACACCACACAAGCATTACACAAATACACACTGATGTACAGCAAACACATACTTTTTACAATACTGTGCCATCGGAAAACTTGCTTTCTCTTTAATAAGAATATATGATCCTGATGATTAGCATCTTTCATCTTTAAAAAAAGTTAAGGCTGGGCCTGGGAGTGTACATCTTTGATCCCAGACCTTGGGAGACAGAGCCAGGTGGGTCTCTGAGACTTGGAGGCCATCCTGGTCTACATGGTGAGTTATAGACTAGCCAGGGCTACAGGGAGACCCTACTTCAGAAAAACAATTTTTTTGAAACAGGATCTTTCTCTGTAGCCTGGAATTGGCTACGTAGAACAGACTGGCCTGATCTCACAGAGATATGCCGCCTCTGCCTCCAGAGGGCTGGGATTAAAGGCATGCACTGCCACACCTGGTTGTTAAAAAAATTTTTTTAAATTACATTTACTTGTGTGTATGTGTATATATGGATCTGTATATGTTCACATGGAGGTCAGAGGACAGCTTGTGGGAGTTGGTTCTCTTCTTCTTCCATGTAGGTCCTGGGGACTGAACTCAGGTTGTCAGGCTTGGTGGAAAGACCTTTACCTGCTGTGACACCTCACCTGCTCATCATATTTTCTATCAGTGTTGAGGATGAACCTAGGGCCTTCCTCATACTAGGTAAACATTCCAACACTGAGATGCATCTCCTGTCTTTGGTTTTATGAGATAGGGCCTCACTATGTAGCTCAGGCTGGCCTAGAACTTACTATATGTCCAAGCTGGCCTCAAATTCCAGACACTCCTTCCTCAGGCTACTGAGTACTGGGATTACAAGTGTGCACCACCACATCCTGCCTTATTCCCTCCCCCCACCGCCAGAACATACATTTTAAAAATTATTTTTAACGTTCGCATATAAAGGAATGGATTTCATTATGGCATTTCCATAGATATGTGTCATTAGATGAAGTTCCAATTTGTTCTCCTCACCTACTACCCTCCTCCGTGCCCCGATTTCCCCTTTGGTTCCCTTCCTCCCCAATAATAGTTTCCCTCTCTTCTTCGATAGCATGCATAGTCCACTATTCTCTCTTCCTCCCTTACCGAAGAACTTTCTCTTCTGATAGCCACTACTATATATTTAATGTTCCACATATGAGAGAAAAGATATGGTATTTTTCTTTCAGAATTTGACTTTACTTCACTTAATGATTTTTCAGCAAATGACATTTCATTTTTCTTTGTAGCTAAATATATTTCCGCTGTGCACATGTACTACAGTTTATTCATCTGTTGATCATCTACGTTGCTACCATTTCCTAGCTACTGTGAATAGTGCAGCAATAAACATGAATGTGCAAGTCTCACTGTGTATGTTAATGTAATTATTCTTTTTTTTTCTTTTGTTGGTTTATTTATTTGTTTGAGACAGGGTCTCACTGTGTAGCTCAGGCTGGTCTTGAACTCTTGGTGATCTTTCTGACTCAGCCTCCAAGCACTGGGATTATAGACATGATTCACCACGCCCAACTTCACAGAACACATACTTGGTGCTATCTTTAAAAAAAGTTTTGAGATATATATATATATATATATGTGTGTGTGTGTGTGTGTGCGTGTGTGTGCGCCTGTGTTTGTATATGCGCACATTCGTGTGGGTGCCAGAGGAGGCCAGAAGAACGCATCAGATTCCTTAGAGCTGCTGGAGTTATAAGCCATTGTGAACCATCCCACCTGGGTGTTGGAAACCAAACTCCTATTCTCTGCAAGCATAGCAAACCTACTTAATCATTGAGTCATATCTCCAGCCCTATTAAAAGAAATTTGTCCGATCTTTAATCATTCTTAACAAGTATAATAGATATGCCAAGTACAGTTTTACTAACATGGTAATTAAGCAGTGAAAGAATATTTTATCAGTTTTTAAAAATTTTCTTTCACCTTGATTTTGGAAATTGAGCACCATTATCTATACGTTTGTAATTTAGCATTTCTTTTTAATATTAAAATGATTCAAGTGGTAACAATCAAATTTATTATTTTGAACTTTACCTTTAAACAAAATTGCTTGTTCAATTTATACATTTTAATCTTGCAAACCTGATCATCAACACTTTTTCTGTTTGAATTTCAGATTATGAACTGTTCTGAGAAAAAGTAAAATTAAACGTTTTGTTGGATACCTAAAAGAACTCAGCATAGTACTTAATGTGTCCTTTCTTCTTATGGCATGTTACCAACCCGGAGGAAGCAAACCAGTTTGTCTTGTTCTAGTGTTGGGGAAACACCCAATGGCTATCAATTAATACAAGTCCCAACTAGAACAACTTGGAATTTGGGGGGGGGGTCTGGGGGGAGGTGGGGTGTAAACACAACTATTTGCTGAAAGGCCAAATCCAACCAAACCTAAGGCAGCTTTTTAACTGCTGTTGACTTTATAATGCAGGTTCAAAATCTAAGAACTTTGTAATTCATTCTTTACTATCATCTACAAACTGAACTCCAGATGTAAGTGATGAAATTCCCATAGCCTTTTCCCTAATATTTTCGCAATGTAAATATATCTGTTCAAAGAGTCTAAAAAGTTTATAAATGGTCAAATGATAATAAAAATTTGTGGTACAGAATTTACATGTTTATATAGCACCACACTGTAGAATGCTTTAAATCATACTAACATCCATTACTTCAACTAAGTCTGTATGGGAAGAACATTCAAAATTTACTCTTTTACCAGTTTTGAAACATGCATTGATAACAATTATAGTAACTGTGCTGTGCAACAAACTAAAATTATTCCTTTTGACTGAAGTGTGGTGTATTTATTCAACCATCTCCCTGTTCAGGTTTATCCACCCCCAACATCTGGTAACCACTGTACTTTGTTTCTATGTAAAGTAATCTGGTTTTATAAGAGATCAAGGGTTTAAGAGAACTTTTAAATTATGTAGTTAAAGATATTACATATTGGGCTTTTTCTCACCCTCCTTACTACCCTCCTGCAACACTGTAGCATTTTGTATTTTGAGACAGGGTGTCATGTAGCACAGACAGGCCTTGACCTCCTTATGTGGGCAGAGAATGGCTTAGAACTAATCCAGCTGTCTCTACGCCAGAGTTCTGGTTACAGGGGTGAGTGCTCTATCATGCCTGCCACTGTCGCGGACTGAATTTGGAAAAATAAAATGCAAGGATTTCCTTCCCAGTCTTTTCTTGTGTTCCTTTCCCCTTGCTCTTTCCTCTCCTCAACTGTTCTTTCCTGAGTAAATTCTCAGTTATGGCTGCAGTTTTCAAAGTGATTTGCTAGAAGTGGAACTTGCATCAGTTTATATTTATCACCTATTGAGTTACATTTTCACTTTTGATTTGACTGTGTTGAAATGTCTGAAATTTATTTGTAGGCAAAAAAAGTAGTTTCAAAATGGAATAAAATTTTTATAAAATAGAGACATAGCCCTCAAATGTTTGAGGCCGATTTTTTTTTCTCTTGCTATCCCAAGCCTCCTGATTTGGCCTCTCGAGGGTAACTGGAGACAAAAACAATACTGTAATGTTAAACATTCTCTGTCTTGAAGACTGTGTTTTACTAGTTTAAGATAAAAAATCTCCACATTGGAATGCTGTTATGAACTACAGATACAAGTTTTTAATAATAAACACACATACCAAGTTTTTCAGTCTTTAAAGAGCAGGAATTCCTCATTCAAGCGCCTGAGAACCGTGACAGGAACTTGGGCGAGCCTCGAAAAGGCCTGAAGTACTGTTTTCTGAGTCCACTGGGTTATTCTGGTTGACCTTTCGGCTTCGAGAGGCCTTAACGTGGGAAACTGAACCGTGTTTGCTCTGAGCGGGTGAAAGGAGTGCGGAGAGGTGGAGGCGAACGGCCGTGCGCTTAGAGGGCTAGGGCGCCGGGACTAGGCGGTTGGCCTGCGGGGTCGGAGGGGGGTGGGGGGTGGTCTGCTCCCAGCCCGGGGCGCCGGCTTCGGGGCACCTCGGGCGGGGGAATTGGGCAGGACTCGTCTTCCTGAGCAGCACGATCGGCGGACGCGCAGGGAGCCACGCGTGGTTCTCGCTCGGGGAACTGCGCGGCAGGTGCCCCGGCCGCGCCAGGCCTCCGTCGGCGGCGGCGCTCCCAGGCCGGGCAGCCGCGGTGGATTGTGGGCTGGGGGCTCGGCGGCCTGCGGCCTGCGGCACGCTCTACTCGGACCCAGCGGCGCCGGCCGGCGGGAGGCCGGAGT